AGTCGGCATCTCACAAAACAACAAGGTCTCAAATGAGGTTTGTTCTGGAACTTTATTTCCATAATAAGTTTACAATAGGACGCAAACCCAGGGATGGACCGAAGTGTAGCCGCATAGTCTTTCGGTCCGGTTGCCCGTCTTTACCCGGGCGGTTCCGTTCTAGGCAAGCTCGGACCTTAATCACTTAAAAAAGGAAAAAACCCGATTGACGAGCCGTAGCTACCTTCTTTCCCGTGGGCCTCAACGTCGGTCAGCCCTCTGACACAACAGTCTCCTGCGCGGTCTACCCGGTAGCTCTTGGTCCAAACAACTTCAAGAATGACCGAACCTTAAAGTTTTCTAGGAGAGCCACACCACTAAGGGCCGGACGATTCCCGGGTCCCGTACGATCCGGAGGGACAGAGGAAGGTCGGACACGTGGCTATGGCAGGTAGGGCACCCAAGGGGCAGACTTCAGTTGCCGTTAGGCGATAGACGTGGCGTCAAGGACGAGGACAGGTCCTCATGCATAAGACCTTAAGGCAGACCGTATAAGTCACGAACAAAAGAAGCACCAACACTGAACACAGGAAGAGACAAGACTAAATACAGGGAGGGGTAATCACAAGACGAGAAACAGCCGGGCAGGGGAGGAGAAACACAAGGGCCACAGGTGAACACAATCAGATAACTAGACACACCAGGGAAACTAATGACAAGAGGAAAAACACAGGGAAAAGGACCAGACAATAAACCAGAGGAAAACATGACATGGAAAACAGCAAAAACACCCAAAACTACAACCGTGACATGAACTTAGGAGTGTGACAGCGGCTGATGATGATTTAGCCTGCCAGATACCTAACAATCAAACAAAGTCCAAATCCATGTTTATTTGACTAGATTCTGTCATAATACTGGGTGTATTGTTTTGTGAGGCAGAGTGTCCCGTTTCATTCTACATGGCCTACAGTAATATATAGCACATGTTAGCGAGTGACCACCTACAGGGCTGGACAGAGGCTCAGCGATCGGACCGAGCTTGGTGCCATGAAGTTAGGGAGAGTTTTTGATCACAATCTTCTTCCTTTAACATCTGGAACACTCAAACTTTCTCCAATCGATTTTCCAAGTTTCTCCAGCCAAATCGGGAGCATTCATAAAAGATGTGTTCTTGATGTCGACAGATGTATCTCAAATAAATATACAAGACTTGGTAATACTAAGCAGAGTGATTTCTGCTCTGGATAAATTGATGTGATGGCAGTGAGAAGTAATGGGGATGGTTCGACTCTAAAAGGCTGCAAATCCACCTTGTGATTTATTGTGATGAATTTCAGCATAAGCCAAGACATTCATCTGGTTGCTTCGTGTTATGTGTATCCTCCCTTCGAGTGAAAAGGGTTAGAGGAAGTGACATTTTTATAGAATCCAAATTGGGTCCAAGGTTTTTATGTATTCATTATAAATAAAGCTTAATGTTTAGAGGGAGACAACAGGCAGACTGAGTTCATCCGGTATTTGACAAATGGGAAGAGAGGGGAGTTCCAAGAGGGGATGTGGAGCGGGCCAACGGGAGGTGGAGCTCAGGACAGAGTGGAGAGTGTTGCATATTGGGAAATGTTTTTTTAATGCCACTGAATTCTCTCCCCACTAAATATTTGGTAACACTTTAGAATGCCTGTTATTAAGAAATGGTACAGTGACAGTTGATTTGCCTTAGTTGAATAATGATTTCACAGTTATGCAATTATAAAAAATAAGGTTTACTAATTATTATGCTTTTATTTATTTAAGAACACTTAATTATTGTAACAGTTAATTTTTGCACAAATTATAAAATTATAAATTCAGTATTTGTTAATGATTGCCAAAGGACTTGTAATCCTTTAAGGAAATGTTTGTAAAATATTAAGCTGGACCAGCTACTGGTTATTATTGATCAACTATTTGGATGGTTAGAAAGTTTAATAACTATTATTCCTTGTTCAATGAAAACAAATAATAATACATAGTTTGGTAAGCTTCTACATTTAGGAATAATCTTAATTTCTTTAGCATAATGATTATGATTTCTGATCCAATAATCTATGTAATGTTTTGGATGTTTTACAAAATATGTATTTAATGTGTTCAAATAATATCATAATGAATGCAGCAATAAACGTTTAATACATATTTTACTAATGTAATAATAATGTCATTGTTATTGTCCTTTTATCAGCTACAATAAATCATTTATAAACTAGTTATTTCATATTACACAAACTAATTAAATGTACATTTATCAAAGCTTTTCTAAAAATAAGCAAACATTTTCAATTATCATTTAATTGTCAGAAGATACACATATATTTACTCATCAGAAAAACTCCCTCAGAATATCGTGGGTGATCCCCGCAGGAACAAAGACTCATGAACAGCATTGAGCTGCATTAACATCATGGGATGAGGGTGCAGAGCAGCCGCGGTGAAAA